TATATAGGGTTGGGTTCACGTGAGACCAACTTGTTTTCGTGAGACCCGTGAGACCACATTTTTACACGTAAACTTCACAGCAAAATGCTGTGAAGTTTCAAGTGTAAAATGTTGGTCTCACCAGTCTCACGAAAACAGGCTGGTCTCACATAATCCCAAGTCTATATGTATATCCAAAGTTTCTAACAATTTTAACTCAAAAGGACACATTTCAAGATAGTTACCAAGGAAATGTTTTTTTGTGTGTTTACAAGGACCAGGTCATAAATAAATCTAGTGCTCGGACAATTGGTAATCAATACATATGATTGGACTCTAATCCTTTCCGAGTCTCTGTCAACTGTGTGACTTGGTTTTCACTTTAAACTTTGGAAAAGACTAGTACACTATTTGTTTGGTAGGGAAAAAAAGGTACTACTTGGTATTCGATAACGTCTATATGACTAACATGGAGTCATTAGACACTGACGTCAACATATATTTCTACTCTAAGGTTATTGCTGACAAAAATTGGATATGACATACACAAATTCTGATCTCAACCTCAAAACTATCAACAATCTTTCTAGTAAAGATTTGGTCATCAAACTTCCTGCGATGTCATATGTCAAAAAGAAGTTTCTACTCCTTGTGAAAAAGGAAACCAAACCAAAACAAGTTTCATGTCCAAAATGTGTTCTTCTATTTTTGCTTCTGTGCACATGCTTCACATGGGTCTTCGTGGTCTGTACAAAGTGATGCAGCCGAAGAAATAATCAACTTTGTGAAACGAATCAAAGTCTTGAATGATCAATTTATCAGATTAATTTGAAGTAATAAGGACACTAGAATTCAAAAAATGATGTTTTTGAAAGCCTCTTTGATGACTACATAGCAAAAAGGAGTCGTTGAAAAAACTAATCGGACACTATGTGAAGCTGCATATTCCATGGCAGAAAGCCAAACATCGGCTTCTTTATGTGTTTAGATGTGCATGATATATACATAATGATTGAGACAATTGGGGAAGTTTGATTTTATATCCGATGAAGGCATCTTTGTCGGATACTCTCTCTTCTTAAAAGACAACCAAGTGTATAATATGTGTCGTGAGCGTATAGATGAATCATGTTAATGTCAGATTTAGTAAATCCATATAAGTGCCTACATCATTATTTCAATGTGATGATCTTGAACTTAACCATTATTGGAATTTTACTCTTATGAGAACTCAACCTCAATCGGTGACCTCATCCTGGTAGCAGTCTATTCTAATCCTCCGACTAATAGTGAAGGTCCCTCTACTTTTCTTCATTATCCTCTTGCCCCAGCTACTAAGCGGACTAAGAAGATCATCAAATAGAGCAAATTATTTGTGATCAACAAGATGATGTTCAAACCCAACATAGTGATGGTAATATCTGGTTGTATGTCAAGTTTCTATCTATCATCTAGCCAAAAAGGCTTGAAAAAAATGCTTGATGATCCTTGCCTATGTTGTATACAAGAACTTCAAAGTTTTCCATATGGATGTCTAGATTTCTTTCCTAAGTGGTTAACTAACTGAAAAAGTCTATGTGAAGCAACGTCCAGCTTTGAGAATCCTACACATCCATGGTATGTCCCTAAGTTAGACAAGGCCTTGTATGACCTTAAATAGACTCATCGTGCATGATATGACACTCTTTCTATTTTTCTTTTGGATAATGGCTTCCTCATGATAAAATTGACAACATCCTCTTTCTTGAAAAAGCAAAGGTGACGTCATTACTTTACACATTCATGTGGACGATATTATTTTTGGTGCGACTAATTGTTCACCATTAAAAAAGAGAGGTTTCCAAAACTCATGGAAATCGTCAGACTGCAATGACATGTTTATTAGGTTTTTGATAAAACAATCCAATAATGGAAGGTTTATAAACTAAAGGAATTATGTCAAAAATCTTATTAAAAATAATTTTGATAAACTCATCCTAAAAACACCAATGACACATCCTTAAAATAACATGCAGTTCTTGATAATATATCAGTGAATCTTAATAATTATAGGGGATGATTTATTTTCTTGTGTATTTAACAGCTAGTTGGCCAAGTATAATACAGGTCACATGTTTATGTACACGATACTAAGCTAATTAAAAAGAATTTCATTTGATAATTGCTAAAAGAATTTTCAAGTATCTAAAAGGTACCATATCTTAGGTCTTTGGTATCCCAAAGACTTAGGATTTGATCTAATTGGATATTTAGATTCTAACTATGTAGGTTGTCAAGTAGACAAGAAAAAGTAGCTACTGGAAGTTGTACAACTCAAATTTTATGGATAAAAAAAACAACTAATTGATTCTTGACATAAAATTTCCAGCTATATTCATTTTGTGTGATAATTCTAGTGTCATCGCAATTGCCAACAATCATGTTCAACATTCTCGAACAAAACACACCATTTTAGGTATTCTTCTCCTCAGAGATCTTGTGATAAAAGGTGATCTAAAATTATATTTTATTCTCACGAATGTAAATTAACTGATTTATTTACCAAGATTTTTGATACGTCAAAACGCAAGCTTTTGATCAGTCAAAACGCAAGCTTTTGATCAGTCAAAACGCAAGCTTTTGATCAGTGAATTGAGAATTTTAGATGCTTAAAGTTAAGCTATCTGACAATGTTATTCTTGTATTAACTTGTCATATCAATTTAACATATAATATTTAAGTCCAAAGTAATAAATATACGTTTTGCATCATTAGGTCCACACCATTGGATTTCACAAGAAAATCGTTTGAGCTAATTCATCCGAAAAATCAGGTATATCATATGAATCCATCATCCGGTCCATCATTCTAATTTTTCTTATCACTTTATCTAAGACCATGTGACGAAAGATGCTGTTGAATTTTACTCTATTCCTACGGAATATCAACTTGTTGATTTATTTACCAAGTCTTTTGATGAAGTTAGCTATATTTCTTTTTAATCGAAGAGTTAAGAATGTTAAACGTTGACAATTAAAATTCTAAGTGTATAATTAGCTAATTTGTCCTAACTAATTATCATACTTATTAATTTTATGTTATTGATGGTTAACATTTAAAAGTAGTTTTAAAGCAATAATGTTTGATCAAGATCTCCAACAAGAATTGGGTGAATAGTGCAATTCGATCACAAGAAAAAGAAACTACGCGATGGGTGGAATCAAATACAAATGACTTTCTTGGAGTAAATTACAATTTTGGTCCTTGTAGTTTACACGAATCTCTGAAAATAAACCCTAAACTTCAATAACTACAATTATTATCTCTATTGTTTGAAAATGGTTCCAAATCACTAACTCCGTTAAACACATTCGTTAATTAAGGGACATTTGTGTCTTTTTATTCTTTTTTTGTCTTGTGTGTCTTGACTCGAAAGACCAAAATTGTATTTATATCTATATTTATATTTTATTTTAAAAAGTGGTTATAACCATCTTTTCAACTATACTTATAAGATCATCTCACTCTAAATTGTATATTAATAGAGCAGACTACAATTTTGGTTTTGCAAGTCCCATAACTAATTCATTTAAACATTATGATAATCCAGTAAAATGACTTAAAACATACACTTTATATTTATCAAGAATTCATTTCCCTAATTTCTCCAAAATGAAGAGCTCTTTTGTCAGCAACAGTGAGAATCGGTTGCTTTAATCGAGGTCGTTCATCGTACCTAAGATTGGTCAATCATGGTGTCTGTGATAAAGCAAAAACATTGAGTTTAATGAAGAAATTATTCTCACAAATTAATACAAGTTAAATCCCCAAAATGGTCCGAATCTGATCGGGTGGGTGCCTGGCTAATGACCTAGGATCAGTGTAACCGTTGTTGGGATCCATAATTGCATTATAAATAACATCATAAGCCTCGGCCAGGGATCGGGCGACGTGGACACAAGCGTCGGACCGCAGCCCTGGAAGCTGCATCTGTTGGAATTCTGGCAGAGAGGTGTCGCTTCCCAAAATGAGTCCGAAGAAAGCTTTAAGAGAGTCGGAGAGAGATGCAGGTGATGTTTCTTCCATGTCAGCTAATGGTGCAAGTGAGTTGTGGAAAAGAGGCATTTTGTTTGACAAGCCACATCTACTTAATATGGCACTCACTTCTTTCTCCACCAAGCTGCGCATGTGATTATCGATCATTGTTCCCAGTTTTTTCACGTATTCGGAAGCCACGTCATGCCTCAACAATGGTTGTTGGATGGCACATAAGCAATTGATAATAAAAATCCTTGACGGTGCTTCGTTGTTCTGCATCAGAAAGTGCTACTTAAAAATATTGAAATCAAAGTCACCATACCAGACCAAACTAGCTTGGTATATCCCACCAGGGAATACGTCCATTCATTTGCTACATTCAGGAATGAGGGGTGTCTTTCCTGCATGTGCTTTAGAAACAGTATCCAGGGGTACCCTACTTGGGATGCCTAACCTATTGGGAATGCAGCTATCTATAGAGGTCAGGTCTGCATACATTTCACCTCCCCAGGCCCCACCTCGGGGTGGAATATACTTGGTTTGTTTGGTTTTGTTATGCAGATAATTGCAAGTGCACTAATTCTTTATAACTTGCTGAGCACTCAATATCAAGTTGAAGAAAAGGTAAAGGAAACAATCTAAATTACTTTCCGGGAAGGGGGGGGGGTCTTTATAGGAAACTCAATGAAGATGAGCATATATATATATATATATATATATATATATATATATATATATATATATACACACACATACTAGGTTCGATGCCATGTATTATACGGGGTATTTTAAATGAGGAAAATGAGTTGAGACTTTTCCTCAGGTCTAAAAGAAAACTCTGAAACACAAGAATTCAGAAATCTATTGTTAGGCTGGAAAATAACTCTGGACTTAACTCTTCTGAATAAGAGGAATTCAGAGTTGTCTTCTAAGTCCAGAAAGTATCTATGAGCATAACTCTGAATCACAAGAATCCTGACTTCTTATAACTCAGAAACGTAAGTCTGAACTTCAACTCTGAAGAGAAGTTCAGAGTTGTATTCTAAGTTTGGGAATAAACTATAGAACTAAGTTTGGAACAAAACAATTCAGAGTTATGTTGTAAGTCTGAGAAAAAACAAATATTTGACGACTTCATGTTGGTGATTTGTATCACTAATGTCATTTAAGTGTAATGGGATTAATTTGTTGACCAATGTAATCATGATAAATATCGAACAAGTAAGGAAGGTGCTGAGTGCACATTTGTTTGAGTTTATTTTGATTTAGGGGCGAATTTGAAAAATGCTTCAAAAATCCGAATTTGAAATTTTAAACCCGGTTTTGATGTCCACTTCCGAGTTAAATTCAGAGTTACAACTCTGAATTTTCCCAGAGTTATGTTGTAAGTCTGGAGGCGACTTCAGAGTTAAATTCAGACTTACAACTTTGAATTTTCCCAGAGTTATGTTGTAAGTCTGGAGGCCACTTCAGATTTAAATTCAGACTTACAACTCTGATTTTCCCAGACTTTCATACTTGTATGTCTTACAAGTCTGGAAGGCAACTCTGAATTTTAACTGAGGAAAAGGAGTTCAGACTTATAAGTCTGAGGAATGGAAATCCAGAGATTTTTAATTAGTCTGGGAAATCAGTTACACCACGAAAACAGGAAAATAAACGTGTAGAGGGACAAATGTCACTTAAATAGACCTATTTGAACCGTAAGTGAAAATTGTGTCTAGATACATGTTTAGGCGGGAAAAAGCAATAACCGCCTCACAGAAACATGACACGTGTCCCTAAAGTTACTTATTTATTAGGGTGTGTGTTTGTGTGTGTATATATATATATATATATATATATATATATATATATATATATATATTATTAATTGATGAAAGATGAATAATTGTCAATTGTGAGGAAAAGGTACCTTAGATGGAGGTACTTGGCTGCTACTTGCCAAAATAGCATCAACAGATGATCTTCGTGATTGGGCCACGTCAGACCTCGTTCTACCTCTTCTAGCTGACTCAATAGATCCCTTTGACCTGTGTGCTTCCATTGCTTGCTCACAAATCTAGATTTATATGAATAAAATGAAAATGAAACCAAGGGTGGAAAACAAAAAAGGGTCATCAACCAAAAGTGTATGTACACGGGTTAGATCAATGATCAATCCCCTTAACCGGAAGCCAGTGAGTGTTTAAAACTATAGGTAGTGATTTCAAGTCTCTTTATAGACAATGTTGTGTGAATTTATTTACTGTTTTAATGCAAGAAATATGAAGTGAAACTACATTAAATTTTTGTTAGGTTAACACTAAGACCCTATTTCAATATGAGAGCTTTTTAAAGACTTTTTGGGAAGTTTTAGGCGACATGAGATTTTGAAAAAGCATTTGATATAAAAATAACACTTTTTGCTTGTAACTGCACACTCAATCAAAAAGCTTGTGGGCCTCATTTTTTTGAAGAGTTTTGCTTGTTTTCGATGGCCACCTAAGCTTGTGGGTCCCATTTATTTCGAAAAAGCTCCCCATTGTGAATGCGCTAAAGGCCTAAAAAATGTAATGTGGCACTGTCCTTGTACATCAATTTTTCTGGTACCACCCAATTTTTTTCTCAAAACAGAGTCCACTTACAATGTTGAAAAGCCAACTTAGATAAGCTAGCCTAGCCTTTTACTAACATTTATTTTCACAAAAACTAGACCCTGATAAGCAGAAGCATAACATGAGAAAAACGAACATGAAAGGGGGAAAAACTGTTGGATAATTTTCACAATAACTTCAAGTGCAGTTAGATTTTTAAGCATGTTTATTACCTGTATTATAGGATCAAGCAAAGCAGATATTACTGGATCAAATATTGGCTTTTTCCCTGATGCAGGAACCATCATGCTGTCATGAATCTCAATTAGTTCATGCAACACAGAGACTCCTTCCCTGACTGCTGGTGGTGGGGAAAGATCAACAGCAACTAGTGGGGGATATCGCAAAAGCTTCTCCCCTCGAACTTTTAAAATGTCAAAAAAGGTTTTCTGAGCAGCATCCTTAAGAGCCCAAAGTGTATTACAAAGAGCAGTTTCTCTCCCTAGCAGATCTGACACCTAAAAGATAAGACAGTTTAGTAGATGCAAGCCACTCAGAAATCAGCAAGTTTTGTGCATGGGTCATAAGACTATGATTAGTGGTGATTGATTGCAATGGATTGATAATAGGACAAACCCCAGAAAAGAATTAAAAAATATTAAAAGAAATGATTTGGGTTGATTGATTCATTTGGTTAGTTTAGATCAGTTGGGTTGGGGTGGAAGGTTGTGTATGTGGATGAGAGAGGACGTAATTTTTTGATGAAAGATTTGGTTGGGTTGGGTTGGGTGCTGATAAACAGTCACAAGTGTGTGCATGGCTTATAATAATTGAACTCACCGTGTGGCTGTAGAACTCGAGGGTATTGCTAAGCTTGTATGAGATTATGAGATTGGGTTGAGACTGCAACACTTGTTCAACTCTAACTTTAAAAGGCCGGCAAACACCCTCAAAGATCCTATCCAAAACGAATGTCAAGTCAGGTTCTGCTTTATCTTGGATAATCTCTGTGCTTTTGGAGAATCGACGAGCAGTTGGTCCAGTATCCACTACTGCATCAGGATCAAGCAACACAAATACAAGTTCTCTTTCAGATGCAAGGGCCTGCACTTGAGAAAAGTAAAAGATAATAAAGAATACATGGTCAGGAAGATACTTTCCAATACAACAAAATTGGGTCTATTAGACATTTTTGGCGTCCTATAAAACCGATTTTGTTGTAACGTTCAACTTGTAACAAGAGTGCAAGTAGACTGTAATTCACACCTGATGCAGCCAACCTAGCATGTCACCTACATAGCGTAGCGGGTCATGAGCATGTACTTCGATCGGCCTGGGCATTCCACCAGGTCCTCCACGTGTAAGAGCACTTATAAATCTCCTAAACAGGGCATTGTGCCTCATATTTGCTACCTACCAATTATGAATTGACAGGTGAATAAAAGCGGTGTCAAATGGATCATAAGATTTAAAGGTGGTAATTCACATATATTTTACCTCTTCTGCACAATACTTGAACAGTACAGGTCTTTCTCTGAGACAGCGAACTGCCATTTTAAGCAGCTCGCTAACTTCAGGATTATCAGTGTCACCCAATCTCCTACACTCTGTCTGAACCCACCTGGAAGAAAGACAACACAGCCACACAGTCAAGAAAGGAAGAACCCCAGAAGGCAAATCATACAATCCATGCTAATTGGTGATCAAGAGTAACAGCTAAACCAACTCCAAAATGTGGGAAAACATTGAAATGGATAGTATTTGGCCCAAAACGCAGGGATTTGATGGTACATTTCTAACTAGTACTACTCAGCTTAATGCCAGAGGATGAATTGTGCAAAAACATAATAGTGCTAACTTAAGAGAATAATATAACCAAACATTCAGTAGTTTAACCATCGGTACCATGCATTAAGGTTTACATGCAAAAACATTTTTTCCCCTCATTTGTAGCCTCTTTCCCGACTTTTGTCTAGAGTAGGTACAGGTCATGAGGACTTTCTCAGTGTAAAAAGAACCCAAATACCAACTCTTGCTTTACAAAAAAGGCCAGAAGAGTCCTCCAAAAAAGTGAAAAAAGAAGGGAAAACATTAAACAGGCCCTAATATTTAGCGGCTGATAATTAAATAATTTTGAACTCACATCTCAGATGAATAACTTGGCATGATGATGACTAAGATAAGTGGTTATATAGAAGGTCGTGGAGACTGCATTCATTCACCTCTCCTTTGTTTGGCATCTTAATTTTATGGGCCCCAGCTCCATTTAACCCCACAACATGGAATCGACCCCATATGAAACTGAGAACTTAAATAGATTAAACGTGTTGACCTAAATAATTCTAAGTTCACTGATAGTTCTAATAAAATAGATAAGTTAACAATCCTAATAATGGAGTACACAAGTCGAAGTAGTGCAGGTCGTTAACTAGCGTGACTGGATAATTTACATAACTAGTAAAGTAAGCATTATCACCAACAAAATACTCCTACAAGTTTCGGATTTTATTGATTTTTCACCTGCACAGGCGTTCATAGGCACCTTCTTGGTAAACAGCCATCATATCCATGAGCTCCAAACCTGCACGCTGTGAACATTCAGAAATGAGTAATGATTTCAAAGCTAAGCAGTTAACGCAGTTGATTGCGAAAATCGCGGTCGGAGACATGATTTGAAATTGCGGTTATCGCAGTGGTAAAGCGGTGGTATAGAGGTAAAAAACTAGGTTCATAAGATAAATATGAATGTGTGTGTGTGTGTGTGTTTAACTTAATATATTGTGTGCCTACAAGAATAAATACTTAATGCCTTCAAACAACAAAACAATAACCAGCTAAACTTAAAAGGTTAAACAACAAAGTTAGAAACCATTAGGGACTAAATTAGGGACTGAAACAGAAACAATCCAGAAAAGGGCGTCCAATTCCAAAGTTCAAAATTCCGACAATTAGGGACTGAAACAGAAAGTCAGAAACCATTACCTGACAGTAAGGGTTAGTGTTCAAAAGTAGAAGCAATGAAGATCAACAATAGAAGGAATCAATAAAAGCACAATCAAACAGGACTTTGGAATCGATGACCAAATTGGACTGTGGAACTGTGGGATCGATAATCATCGCTTTCGTTGATAGGCCAACTAAGAGTCTAAATAGCCCACAACAATCAAAAGCCTACCCAAAATAGAACCCGTTTAAATTCAACAAAAAAGGTCCAAAACAGCCCCAAAAGAAAATTCGGTAAATGCGGCCGCTATTTGGGGTTGAAAATGCGGTGATTAGCAGTAATTGTGGCCGCTATTTGAGGTACCACTATAATGCACCGCTATTTTGTGTCCCACTACTAACCGCTATAGAGCGCAATTAAGTGCACAGTTTCAAAACATTGAATAGAATTAAAGGAATGGGTAAGATGCTTTGAAATAGCATGAAAACCATCAAGAACTCAATGTGTCCATATATTCCATAATCTCAATGGACTTGTGCAACTTATTTCTAGTTGATAACAATTTTAGTCTGATAGAACAACAACTTCATTCAAACCTAACTACTTCAAATTAAGAGGATTGGAACATAGATTACAGAAGTAACTGTCTGCATGGATAATATTATGAAAAAGAAAATCTCCAACGCCGCCACTAGAATGTGCTAACACTACATATTCCTGAACTATCATTTAAATCCTATAATAAAGCCGCATGTTCTTTTGCCAGTGTGCTCTTAATAAAACAAAATGTCAATTTTAAAATGATTAGACATATTAATGATAAAATAGCAATAACTTTCACCCGACTCCTGATTTCTTCTTTTAATCCACCTGCTTCTACTGTTTTTTCCTTGTGATTGTCATCATGTGTTCTATTGCTGCCAGTTTTACACAAAACATATTTTGCAATGTTCACCCAAACTCAATAACCTCCAGAGACAGTTGGTAGTTTGATATTATCACCATATTTCATGCTTCAAATCTGCTTTGTCATGTGTCCAACCACTTTCCAGCATAAAATTCACAGTGCATAATGGTGCATCCTGTTTGTCTCACTAAATTAGAACAACACATGCATTTGATAGGGACTACTAAAGATCAATTTACTTTTCTAGGACATTGCCTACCATGGCATTGCTTTAGGAGAAGATTCTGCATAACCTATATGTGTGCCTTGTCAACTTAAGTCGAGTGTATCATTAAATATTAAAGATCCAACAGATTAAAACTTCACACAAGTGGTTAGGACTTAGGAGGAGGCTTAATTTACTCAAGTTGGGAAAAGCATGAGTTTAACTTGGAGGTTTCTTACTTACAAAACAATATGCTGAAACTAAGTTGCACACAGAAAGAACTATACAAACATTGATCCTGAACGGAAAATCCTATTCCCAGGATACGTGATCAGACAATGAAAGCTAGTCCACAGTGGTACCTTTATCTTTCCCTGCCTGTATTCCCCCCATTCTAAAATTACAAGTATGATCGCCTTTCAACAACATTTTATTAACCATCCAAGTAGAAGATTTTTCCAATCCACACATACTTCATAAACGTGCTAATTTTCTTAGCAGGATTTGGATTGAGCAGCAAAGGGCTCTACTCTTTCTTTCATTTTCAATGGCATGTTTGCAGGAAATCATCATGGCATAACAACTTTCATTCTGTTATATGAGAACTAAACTATATGACAAAACCACCAACTCCATATACCCTTCATAGTTGACACAAGATAACAAATTTACCAAAAGGCAATTTTTTAATGGAAGAAAATTACCAAACTTAACCAAAACGGTATCATAAATTTATGGGAAATTGAGTAGCAAAAGGTCTGCATGTCAATGTCTATGTATCACATTACAGCCAGTAGATGGCAACATGTCAAAAAGGGGATGAACATATATATTTATTTCTGTGTTGATATGAGAAGGGACTTAACCACAAGAGGTTACCTGATGATGGGTCCTGAGTAGGACTTTGCAATTTGCATGGATTGTTTGTACATGGCTCAGTGCCTTGAAAAAGTTTTCATTCAGTTCTTCCTCCCTTAGTGCATTTATCTATGGAAGCAATGCTACAGGTAAGTACATCATATCTTACATTATTTGTAATTCAGTGACAGAAAAAACATCACCTCTTCAGTAGAAACTTGATAATCTCGAAGGAAGCATGATGCAATCTCTTGCCTCTGAGTGGTCACTTCAAGTTCCTGTTTGAGTCTTTCTGTTGTAGTGATAATATCTCCAGTAGTGGAATTACAGTTGCTCAAGGATTTGGCAATTCTGCAAGATTTAAACATTGAGCTACATCTGTGCCTTAAACTGGATTTTTTATTATTTTCCAGACTACCAACTAGTTACAAACATGTTACTTCACATTAACATTCAACAATTTATTAATGCTTAATAGATCTTCCAACCTCTAACGTATACCATTATGTCTTGATTATTATTACTCGTCAATTTCTTCCAATTTATCACTAACAACTTAAGATTTCAAGGTTGTATGCTTGATCCTCGAATGGTAGCTAGATTTACGACAGGAGATAGCAACGAAATGATGCAAAATTGTTTGAAAGCAGAAAGACGGGTATAGTAGCTCACTTGTCACAGCATTCGGCTAGAGAATTAACCTCTTCCTCCACCCGATCCAAAGCCTAAAACCGTAAAAATAAAATAACTAACTCGTTATGTTGATCRAKTGATTCAATGATCGATGGAGAAWGAGAATGAAGTATGCGAACCTGCTGGGCGGCATCGGAAGCAAKGAGGAAGTCGTGATTTATAGACAGAGAACGCTTCTCGATAGTTGATCGGAGGTTACGGCGAGCCGGAGCAGTGTTATCGGTATAGAAAGTGGAGAGTGTATTGAGAGAAGCCAACAGATCTGGATTATCGGTGCGAGTTTCCAGAACTTTCTTCAGCTTCCTTGACAGCCCCGGCGCCAGCGCCGTCGTCGTCCCCATTTCTCTCCGGTTGGTCTACCTTCAATTACGATCTTTCTCCTTCGTTCGTAGCAACTGATCGGAGTTTTGGTGCAATCTTATCGATTCGGGTCCTATTTAATCCACCATTAAATAATGCGCTGATCCGGCCCAAGATCTAACTGAAATAAAAACGAAAAGAGGTGAAAACAAAAAATAGCGATTTTTTTCATCATTTACCCGATATTACTATGTTGTTTAGGTTCTACCTCCATCACTTGTGGACTAGTAAAAAATTATCAGATTTGACTCAGGTTCACAATTGCAACGGCCATGTCTATAATTTTAACCTTTTTTTTTGTCTTTTAGCTAGTTTAGGTTCACAATTGCAACGGCCATGTCTACAATTTTAACCTTTTTCTTTGTCTTTTAGCTAGTTTCATGGCAGACGTAGGACTTGTGGAGATAATGATATTTGGGTAAATCTGAGAGATGAATAAGCAGAAGACCAATATGAGGAATGACTACTTTGACTAATTTTACAAAAATAATATTTGAATTAATTTTGAAATCTAAGGTGGCGTTTGATTCGCAGAATGTTTTTGGATGAAATGGAATCTGTTAAAGAAATTTGACTTTGAAGAAATTTGAATGAAATGTTGTTAGGTTTGACCACCTGTTTGGTTGGCAGACATTGAAATGGAATCTGTTAAGAAATTGGAATCTTTCTGTTTGGTTCACAGAATGTAGCTTTAGAATTGGAATAAAATTTTGGTAAATGAGCAAAATGCCTTTTTTTGAAAATTTTAATTTTTTAAAACTAAAAATACTTTAATAAAATAATTATTTAATATGTAAAACAATATAAAATACACAACCCAAATATAATCATAAGTCAAACGACGTTACTAAATCGACGGTGGTCGGCGGTGGTTCAGATTGATGGTGGTCCACAGTGGTTAAGATGGTGGTGGTCCGCAGTGATTCAGATCGATGGTGGTCCACAGTGGTTCAGATGGAGGTGGTTAGCGGTGATTCAAATAGGCGGTGGCGGCGGTGGTTGTTCAAATTGGTGGTGGTCGGCGGTGTTTGACGGTGATTTAGATTAATGGTAGTCGTCAGTGGTTGGGAGTTATATAGATCGATGGTGGTCCGTTGTGGTTTAGGTGACGATGGTCAGATGTGGTTCAGATTGGCAATGGATCATATCGGTGATGGTCAATGATGGTTTAGATCGACGATGCTTTAGATCAGTAGTAGTTGGCGGTGGTTCAGATCAATGGTGGTCCGTGGTGGTTCAGATGACTATGGTCGACAGTAGTTCAGATCAGTTGTGGTCCATGGTGGTTTAGATGGCGGTTATCGTCAGAGGCTTAGATTGACGGTGAATCAGATCAGTGGTGGCTCACATCGGTGGTGGTGGTTGACAGTATTTCAGATCGGTGGTAGTAGGTGGTGGTGCTCGACGGTGGTTCAGATCATTGGTAGTCGACGGTGGTCGACGATGGTTTAGATCGGTGGTAGTCGATGGTGGTGGTCAACGTGGTTTAGATCGGTGGTGGTCCATGATGGTTCTGATGGTGGTTATCGACGGTGGTTCAGATTGATGATGAATCAGATCAGTGGTGGCTCAGATCGACGATAGTTCAGATTGACGGTGAATCAGATCAGTGGTGGCTCAGATCGGCGATAGTTCAGATTGACGGTGAATCAGATNCGATAGTTCAGATTGACGGTGAATCAGATCAGTGGTGGCTCAGATCGGCGATAGTTCAGATTGACGGTGAATCAGATTAGTGGTGGCTCAGATCGGTGGTAATCGGTGGTGGTGGTCGGCGATGGTTCAGATCAATGGTGGTCGACGGTGGTGGTGGTCGTCGGTGGTTCAGATCGGTGGTAGTCGGTGGTGGTTCAAATCGGTGGTGGTCGGCGGTGGTTCAGATCGGTGGTAGTCGATGGTGGTGGTCAGCGGTGGTTTAGATCAGTGGTGGTGGTCGGCGTGGTTCAGATCGGTGGTGGTGGTCGGCGGTGGTTCAGATCGATGGTGGTGGTCGGCTGTGGTTAGCGGTGGTTCAGATCGGTGGTAGTTAGTGGTGGTGGTCGGCGGTGGTTCAGATCAATAGTGGTCGATGATGGTCATATTGAGTTTTATGAGATTATAACATATTAGGTTAAGGGCATATTTGGTATAATGAAGATAGAGATTCCATTCCATCAAAATACCATGTAGTTGTTAAGGAATGTTAGGGGGCGTTTGGTTCGTCGGAATCCGTCAGAATCTGGTGGAATTGGAATGGTTAATTCCGATGACTGATTTTCATTCCAATGTTTGGTTACCCATGGAATGGAATTGAATTCCAAAGATTCCATCATTTGAGGATTTCGTCATTTCTTCCTAAAACTGATGGAATTGAAATCCATTCCATCTGAAAATATGTAAATGACAAAAATACCCTCACGATTAGTGCTTGCTTCCGATTTCTGCTTATCAAACACCAAAATCAAACTAATTATTGTGTGCTTCCGAATTTTGCTTATGATGCTCTCGATCGATTACTGCTTGCTTCCAATTTCCTCATTAAATGTTCAAACAAACCAGATCTAGGTTCACTGTCGCCAACACCCTCTAAACCCCTTCCCTCTTTAAAGCTTCGACCTTGTAACTCCATAAATCTAAAACCAGAACTGAGAACGAGAAAAACCTAAAACGAAAAATGGGTTCTACGATAGTTGTGGCGGCAGTGAAAGGTAGAAGAAAAGGCGAAAGGGCGATGACCATGGAGGAGGGAGAGAGTGGTTGTGTTCTTATGGTGAGTTTTTCCATCCTATATCCAACGAAAGCTGTGGAACACGGTCATGGTAGGGGAGGCCGGAGATGAGAGCATAGAAGGGCGGGGTGAGAGTGGGGGTCGTCTAGGATGAGAGAGATTAAACATTTTAATTAGTTTTTGAAATTTGATTAAAAGTTTTATTGCTTCCAATTAAATGTTAATTTTATTGTTATTTGTAATAAAAAAATTAATTTAAAAAAAATTATCAACGAAAGGGTATTTTTGTCTTTTTTTCATCACTACATTCCAATTATGCTGCAAACCAAACATGAATATTCCAATTCATTAGACATATAAAATTCCATTCCTGCCAACCAAACACTTGGTCAAACCTGATAACATTCCATTCCAATTCATTCCAGATTCCAATTCTTTTTGACATATTCTATTCCTTCAGAAATCATTCTGCTAACCAAACGCCCCCTTAAAATCCTTTATCCATGTAATTCATAAGAATCTAAAGATTCCTTCCGATGAAAAGAATGAACCAAACGAAGGAAATGAATCTGGTCAAAGGAATTCAACATTCCAATTCCTCCAGAATCCTCCAGAATCTGCAAACCAAACGCCACCTAAAGGTTAATAAATTTTGTTGTCTTTTAAAAAAATCTGAAAATTTTATTTTAAGATGTATATGTAAAGCAACATTACTGATTATTTATATTGGTTCATGTGTGTTTGATCAAATAAATATTTAAAATGATTCATATATGAATTTCCCCTACTTATTATCTCATAATATTTATATTTCTTATTTGATAGAAAAAATATTGAATTTTATGGATTATGTTTTTAGGGATGGTTTACTTTGCAAATCAAGTTATTTGTATAAAACCGTGCAAACCTTATTCAACTAATCATAATTTTTTTTTTTATAATTATAAGAGGTTGATTAGTCATTTTATTGTTGAGTACGTCAATTATGGACATTGTCATTTTATTATTATTAATTTTAAAGAAATATATGAAACAATTTATTTAAAACAACCATATACGAAGCAATTTCATAAAAAAAATTATATAAAACAATATCACCAGATTAAACAATTTTATTAAATTAAATAATGAAATCGACAGATGAAAATGATTTATATGTTTTACACAATAGAAATGATTTACATTTGATTTCCTCCTTGTATTTTTATAATCAATTTGATTTGTTATTTTTGCTAAGCTTTTTCTATTAAAAATTTTAAATATAAATTAAGGTGATTATGTTAGACCCCAAACTTGTAAAAGTGTAAATAAGAATTATCTTGCTCTAGTCAATAGGACTTAGTCTATTGAAGTTGTCTGGCTAAGAGCTCTCATGCAGAGGATCAAGGACCAGAGCTCTTGCTCAGAGTGAAAGTTCCGTTATACAGAGCCGCGCTCTATCTTCGTGATCGGTCAAGTCTTGTGTGCCAAAAAGCATAAGCGCTTGACTCAAAGCAACAACTCCAAGACCCAGAGCCTCTGCATAGTACATTCAGAGCTTCTGCATATGCAGAGCCTCTGCATAGTACATCCCGAGCTTCTGTATGTTCATGCAGAGCATCTAGGTACCTTCTTCACGGAAAGCGTGCGTTAGCCCAGACATTCTCGCAAATGTCTAACAGCTTAAAGACAGCTTGACCAAGTCTGCTCCGCTAATCAAGGAAAGTCAAAGATAAGGATGTAGACCAGTCAGCTCAGAATTCCATGCCTAATTTATAGCGTAGTTTGTTAGACCTAGGTGTATAAAAGGAGGCCTCCGCATCAGGTTCAAATATACCTGAAGGAGCCGACTTATACTATACGCAAATTCTTGTGAGATTACATTTGTTCTTCAATTATTCATCTTTTATAAATAAAAGCATTCGGTTATTCAAAGCATTATTTTATTGCTTTACGTTTTTCTTTGAATATCCAGTTTAATCAATAGAAATACACTGTTGTTATTTATTCTTATTTTAAGCAAACAATATTTCTGCAAATTTAGAGTATCTGGATCCAACAATTGGTATCAGAGCCTGTTAATCACATCAATTAATTAGTGGATCGATATCCGACATGATTAAACTCTTAATTTTGTTTTGATTATTCCTTTTTAAAGATTTATCACTCATACTTTTCAATCTTAAAAACATTTGCTTTTAAGTAATCTGGAAATCGTTTGTCAATCGATCTTCCTTCTTGTCAAATTTCTTTTCTAAGAAATTTCAACTCAAAATGTCGTCTTCTTAATCATGGAACTTCATGTATAGTACCGACTCCTTAACAAAACCTGCGACTCTCATTAGGGA